TCCATCATTGCTGGGATTGAACTGGCTATGGCCTCTAAAGATATGAATTCCAAGGAAGGGTCATTTGTGATGCTGGTTTGTGCGGCGGTTCCATTAACCAGATCCAGGTTCTACCAGTTGGGTTTTGGGTATGAAATTTTGCTTCCTTTTTTGGTTAAGTTGAGGGAGATGGCGTGCTCTAGATAGATCCTCTCCGCTTGGGGTATTGGGATGCGTAGGGTTTTAAGTTTTACCATGTCCCTGTTCCAAAAGTTAAAAAGGCTTGGAACCGCTGTAAAACTATTAAACGGCGGCGTATTGATGTCTCTTTTTGGCTCCCTGGGCATGGGCCTCACTACCAATGCGGAATGAAGCTATCCACATGGACAGGAGAAAAACAGACACAGAGAAAAGTCAGAGACTGGTGTGTGTTGAGAGTGAAAGACCATGTTGCTCCAGTTTTGGAGCATTTCCTGTTCCACTGCGCTTCACAATTCTTGGGCTTTCTCTTACTCCGGAAAGCACCACAACCTTGTTTTTAAAGGACCTATCTGCCTCAGAAAGCCAAAGGCCTCCTCACCCACTTGCCTCAGAGCTCAGTTGCTAGAGGAAATCACACAACTTGCCCATAACAAGGTCAAAACCAATTCCGGTATCTCTAAAGCTTCTTGCGTTTTCATTTCCTGCTTCAAATTTTCTGAATTGCTTCATCGTTTTGGATGGTTTTGATGCTATAGTTGGTTGCTGAGATGAAATTTTGGTCATCTGTTTGTTCTGTTTTGTTTATCTTGGAAAGGTGCTGATTGCTGCTGGCGTTTCTGCGGCAATTGGGCAGCTCACCAAGCCTGTCACTTCTGTAATTTTGTATGGGAAAGACTTTGATTTCAAGGCAATCGTTCAGGCCGGGGGCTTCCCTTCTACCCATTCCTCTGTAAGATTATCAGTCAGAATATATGATTTAAGTTAATTCATCATACTCAATGATGTTGAATACTAATTAGCTGACCCTGAAATTGCTTTTATTACCATTTTCTCCATGGATAGGCAGTGGTGGCTACTGCAACAACCCTTGGCCTTGAAAGGTATGCACCACTCGTTTTCTTCCTCTTGCATTCATACAAACACCTCTGTTCATATAAAGCTGAATATCTGGAAATTAAGTTAAATTTGAAATTGACTAACTTTGACTGGTCTCTTACTTATAACTGTATTGTTTCGTTCCAGGGGCCTTTCGGATTCAATATTTGGCCTTACTGTTGTTTATGCAGGTCTTGTGATGTATGACGCCCAGGTATAAATGTTCTTTACAGTTTCAAACCTCTAATTATGTCTTTTCACATCTGTCCCTTGATCCTATGAATTTCGTCAGTTTTTATATTTTGAATAATGAAAACTTACATTGGGATTGCTTTCTTGTCATGATTTTTGGTTCAAGAGTACCAATAGTTGAACTCCAACCTTTTGTTTCATAAGGTCTTATTAAAGAATAATAAGGTGCAACTCTGTACTCCTTGACCTTGGTGGCTTCTACAGGAGTAGTATAAAGGTTACAGAACGTGATACAGGATTTTTGTTTTGGTTGATATTTGATCATTTTAAACTTTTCCTCTGCTGACTAAATTTATACTGCCAAAAGGATGTGGAGATATAAATTTAGGCTGACAGTGCTACAATTCTGGTTCTTCAAGTTAATTGTCTTCATTGCTCTTTGGTGTTCTTGAGAGGACTTATGTTTGATATATTGCAAAAATCTACCACACTGCTGCATTGAAAAGCATTCTGGTGGAGATTTACTATGTCTCGGATAGTAATGCTTGCTATGTAATACAAATCATTGTTTTGGAAATATCAATGTGAGATCATACTAGTGATAGATTTTATACATTCAACTTTAAAGTCTTCATGAAATTTCTAAATTCCATCTTAGTCATTACAGGAAGGAGAGCTTTAGAGATTACTAATCAATAACAGTTAATAATACGTGTTTCCCTTGTTTCTGGTGGCTTGTTTTCTCCTGCTTCGAGTTTGGGGATTTTCTTTGAGGTTTTGTTTAGTTTCTAAGTTTTTTAGGGCTGCTGGTCCACATTCTTTGTACTTACTTTTTATACCTTTCAATATATATCTGCATGTTTCCTATCAAAACATATTAAAGGTATTACTCTTTTCCCACATTGTAAATGACTGATGACAATGTGTTCAAATTTGTATTTGCTTATGTGGCCAAGATCTGAAGGCAAATATTTACTTTTTCAGGGGGTGAGAAGAGAAGTTGGCAACCATGCAAAAGTACTGAACAAGACACTGCCTGAAGGTGAAAGGATGAGCTCAGTTCCCACCAAGGACAGGGGTAGAATTAACCCTAAACCTAAAATATCATCGTCTTCGTCGTTGAAGTCGGATAGCTTTGGGTCTCTGTTGTCTGAGGAAGCAAATTCTTTCTCATCAGAACCAACAAACGGCCCTTTAGTGTCTCTGTCAGATAACAAAATTAGGCAAACTACTGAGAAACAGATGTCTTCTGGCTTAGGAACTGATGCTGAGCAAGGTTTAGAAAGAGCTGGCAATCGTTCAACTCTGTTGAAAGAATCGATTGGCCACACTGAAGTTGAAGTCACGGCCGGTGCTTTGTTGGGTTTCTTAGTAGGCTTGGCTATGTACACCATAATGTGATGTCAAATGCTCTCATACTTGTGGCCCAAATTTTGTATCCTATAATCATTGTTGTTGATGTAGGCTACTAGGCTCTTAGGCTTGAAATAGTTATAGCTTAAGAGATGAGATCTCCTTATAGAACTTGACTTATGGATAGAAATTGGAAGTGGCAAGATGTACCAAAGCACAAAACAAGCACACATAAGAGAAAGGAAAAGGAAGTATCAATTCAGTTGTGTTGAGTTGACACAAGCATTCTTTTTTCTTCTTTATAAATTGTAGTCTCATCTCAGAGTATACTTATTGAACAGGGGAGTAGTGAAAATATATTGAGCTTATATGTTATTGAGAAACTTTTTATTTTAAAAGACACTAGTGTTACTAATTCACGTGTTATAATATAAATAAACGTTAATATAACACTCCATCGCACTCTCTTCATCTTGTTCTGCTATGTAACAGTATATCCATAACATGTTTGATGTTTAGATTATGACTCTTCATCTTATCTTGTTAAAGGCGTGGCTGCGAAGCGTTTGCATGAGACACGTATGGAGCCGTAGGCTAACTGTTGGCTATGTATGGATGCCACGTAGCCTCACCGGTGACAGGTGTCATTGATACAATTAATTGAGGCTTCATCAGCCGAAACAAACAGTAGACTTGACCGACTACAAGAATCTCAAACAAAGGCTATATATATATGTATAATGAAATCTGATTATATCCCTGCTTGCAAATCATCAGAGCTGCAAAGTTAAAAGTAAAATTTGATCATCAAAGTTGAAAATGTCAGGCGCACAAGGAGCTCAGCCGCCGGGGTCACAGACGGCAACAACGTACAAGTCAATTCCGGGAGGAGAGAACAAAAGCAAGACAGAGCTGAAATCCCGACAGGACCAGGGTGGCCTTCAGATTGACAAGCTCCAAGACAAGGTCGAGGATGCTGCTGGCAAAGGTGGCCCTGTCTTTGGCGCCGGGAAAGACCCAAATAAGCAAGACCTTGGTGTAACCGGCAGTGGCTAATTATAATTAATAGCATAATTAGGCAGCTTGTGTCTGTGTTAATTATATAGCCTAGGGTTAATTAAGTGTATTATGATCAGCATGTATGGTGCTGGTGTTTTGGTTAATTATGCGTCTCCATATGATGTAATTAAATTTTCGTTTTGATAACACATAGGAGATGGTTTCGCCACGCCATACTTGAAATCCTAAGTTTGAAACTCTTGAGAACCTTTGAGCTTCAAGATCTTCTGTTTATAGTCCAAGCTCTAGGGTTTAACTTTAAACCTACTCCTATAGCACCCATTTATTTATCCCATGCAAGTGTGGTACGATACAGTTGAAAAACGTAAGCCCTTGTATAGGTTGGGGCTTACGTTTTCTTGCTTTTCTTTGTTGAACTCTTTACGGTCTGCCCTCCATGTTTTCCCCTCTAAATCCGAGCATCCGACTGTTGAGTACACTTTACCAAAATTGTTTATACTTGATTCCATTACGATGATTAAATAGACATCAAATCTTGATTCTCTTATCGCTCTTATTCAATAAATTTAGGGGAAATTTAATGTCATTCTAAAAAGAAAATTAAAGCAATGTGTCATCTCAATTAAATATTGCGATAATTCGTCACATACAAAACTAAATTTATTTTTCCATTTCGAAGCATTGCATGTGCTTCATATGTGAAATTTTAAAAAGAGTGTATCCATGCATATTACCACTTTAAAAAGGAAACGTGGCTCGTTAATAGTGACATAGCCACAAAGACGCAAGGACGTGCATGTGCACTTTTTCTCACAAAAAAACTTTTTCTCACAAAAAAGATCTCTTTGAGAGGTCGGAATATGCCTCTTTATTGGTGCCCATCACGTGTTCTACTAAATGCCTCAAAAAGGCTTTATTGTTTTATTTGTTTGTAATGTTTTTTTTCCATAAATTATATATGTATTTGATTTTTTTTTTTGGTTGAAATTTTAGCCCTTTAAATATCACTCATTTTTTGAAAAACTTATGGATCCACCGCTCGTCACAATCAATCACAGATGGCAAATGGTACATTACTTCAATATACTTCAATCACACATGGCACATTACAACCATCTCCCACTCCACAACATCACAGAAGAAGTGGCAGTGACACCTCCAAACGACCACAATGGCTCAATTTTTTCCTTGGTTTCTCATCAACGATTACCAACTTAGACCTATTTCAATTCTCCACCATTTAAAAGAAAATTCCAAAGTGAAAAATTGTTCAAATAAAAATACAAGAAGTAAAATTGTTCTGGTTGAAATAAAATTACCCACAACAGTCCACTCACCCCCAAAAATCCAACAGTTAAAAAAAAAAATCCGAAATGGGACATGTGGAGAATCTGAATTTCACAGTTTCTAGGGCAGCTGCTGCATCTGCAAATAAATTTGGGATTTACATCTCATAAGAATTAATGTCGAGCCATCTCTACGGCTACGGCGCCGCACAATCAGCTGCTGCTGCTGCCGCCGCCACCGCCCGCCTCTCCCGCGCCTACACCCCACGCTCCCCAAC